TGATATTACCACACTATACCATATGGTAGTAACGAAATATATATTCATGTGGCAAAAAATTTCATACCATATGGTATGCTCTTATTTAATACCAATCAATACCATATGGTACAGTCAATACCATATGGTATAACTGGTAATAACTGACAAATTTTTTTGTGTCCAAAAAATATCAAAGTGGATATCATTTTGAAGAGCACAATTAATCTGATCTAACTGTGCAAAAAAAAAAATTCGACTTAAAACGAGTGAGAAATCGTCCATTAAAGATTAAGGGAAGGAAAATTAAATGTTTTGCAAGGAGAGAGAAGGAGGCGCTGATGTGGTACGCTCAAAAGTCAGCCTCAGCAATAAATAGGAGAAAGTGCAATTTTACTGTACTGCCCTTTTCACATTTAATTTAAATAAAAAAGTGACTGACACGTGGGGACCATGGAAGGGGTTACTGATTGGTTACTCACCCATCAGTTACTGACCCGATCTGGACTCCCTTCGACTGACCAAGTAAGTTCATTTAATGACAACCTACTACATTTTCCCTTTTTCTTTAAACAACCTAGTTTATTATTAGAGTTCACAAAATTTGATGAGTATTGGCGAAGAGGAAAAAAGGCATATGCTTTCAGCTTCGTCGTTAAATAGATATAAAAAAACAAATAAAAATTTTCGAACCTGATTTTATTGTTAGACCACATATATTACTAATATTTACATAGATTACGTAAAACTTATAGAGATAACTATTCCCTATGCATCAATTAAACAAATGTATTATGTAAGTCTTCCGTTATGAATAAGATGTTACTTAAGTTTTATGGAGGAATATTATTTTATATGTATTAATAAAACAAATATATTACGTAGTCTTCTATAGTATACAGTTTAACAAAACTTTAGTTATTATTAACTAAAATATTGACAATCTCATTAATTCACATCATAAAGGTTTTTGTAAGGTCAATTAAGTTTTACATAAAATTTTAATAAAATGTGATATTTTCTTAACTTGATTCTATTATTAGACCACACATTAAGGAAAATAACATAATTCTGTAGCAATTATTTAAATTACAAATACATTACTTAAACTATACAGAATAATAATTAGTTTTTTTATGTATCAATTAAAAAGATATGATGTAAGTCTTCCATAATAATTAATAAAAAAGATAAAATTAAAAAAATATTTTTATGAATCAAAACAAACATGCTATGCTAAAATTTTCATAAAATAATTGTTAAAGAAAGAATAATAAATTCATTTTAGTATCAACTGAATGGTTGTCCATGCTATCAATTTGCATTACACAAACATTTTGAAATTTCACTTATTTTTTAAGTAACAATTTAACAAATTGTGATATTTTTCATAACTTAATTCGTTTATTATTGACTAAAATAATCACAATCTCATAATTTGCATTACACAAAGGTGTCGTAAGGTCATTTAACTTTTACGTAAGAGTTTGATCCAATGTTACTTTTTTAACTTGATTTTATTAGAGTTAATACCTTAGTTTGGCATGAATTATACCCTAACTTTCTACTTTGGCCCGTGGTATATGAAATTGCTATTCTAGCCTAAATTATGTAGCATACTTTCTTATTTGGCCCGGAGGTGGGTTTGACCGTCAAATTAGACAGTCAACCGAGTTTACCGTTAGTCAAAGTCCACCTCACTTGCCACGTCAGCTATCAGGAAATAAAAAAAATATTTTTTTGAATTTTTGAAATTTGTTTAATTTCTAAAATTAATTAAAAATAATTTAGAGAGCTCTTTTAATTAATTTTTTTGTTTATTATTTTTATTGTTAGAAAATAAACAAAATTCAAAATTTTAAAAATAATTTTTTATTCCCTGATAGCTGACGTGGCAAGTGAGGTGGACCTTCACTAACGGTCAACTCGGTTGACCATCTAATTTAACGGTCAAACCTGCCTTCGGGCCAAATAAGAAAGTATGCTACATAGTTTAGGTCAGGATAGCAATTTCCGATACCAGGGGCCAATGTAGAAAGTTTGTCTATAATTCGGGCCAAATTAATGTATTAACCCATTTTATTATTAGCCCACACATTAAAGATCTACGTAATATCGTTTTATAACAGTTATACAAATCAAAAGATATTACGTAAAACATATGAAGTGATAATGATCTTTGATGTATCTCCTCATTAATAATGATTTCTATGTATATATAAAAAATTATTTAATTTAATTATTAAATAAATGAATTAAATTTTAAATATAATTTATTTCTTATCGGTGCGAAACGCGAGCCAAGAAACTAGTTTATATTAATAGGAGATATTTTATATAAGCCAGCTTTAAATCTTTGCCTTTAATATAAAAACTATTCCACTCGAGAAAGAATGGGTTTCTTTTTATTATAATTTTCTAACCTACATCTTGTGTGTATATAATGTCAGTAAGAAATAGTGTTTTAGTTTTTTGGCTTCTTGCACTATTAATAAAATAAATAATATAATAGTAAAAAATCAATTATGGTTCATGATGACAACAACCATGTTCGTTCTTTTCCGGGAATTAAACCGTACATATTGTAGGGTTAGTAATGACTAGCATTTGTATTCTGACAAATAGAAACCTACCTACGATTGTGTTGTTGTCTATTACGATGACGTCAAATATAGCCGAACTCAGTTTACATCAATATAAGATAGTACTCCTACCCCTTTTCTAAAACATTCAAAGGTACGGTTAGTGATGAATTATAAAATATTATTCACAAGCATTGCATGAATTAGAGAGTATCCGTGTGACGTTGTAATCAACTATTTCAAAGGACGGATGACCACTTGCAAGGTGAGTGAGGTAAAGTGGAGGGTGATGATTCTTACATAGTTTCACTAGGTCATCTTTGCCTCTAATATAAAAACCATTCCACTCGACAAAGAAATTTGGGTTTCTTTTTATTTATTATAATTTTCTAATCTGCATCTTCTGTGTATATAATGTCGTAAGAAATAGTGTTAGAATTAGTTTTTTTTTGCACTTTTAATAAAATAAATAATATAATAGTAAAAAATCAATTATGGTTCATGATTACAACAACCATGTTAGTCCTTTTTCGGGAATTAAACCGTACATATTGGTAGGGTTAGTAATTAAGTAACTAGTTCGTGGAGCAGGAGCGAGAGCGTGAAAGCGTATTTTTGTTGAGAATTTGATATTGAGAGCATGAAGAGACCATCATATTTAGTGCTGGCTATTTGGTCCGGACTTTTGGGTTTTACCCGAAACCGGACTGTATAACACGGACCAGATAGCAAACAATCCAATCTCATATCCGGGCTTAGATTTGAGGTAAAAATCTGTTTGGGTCAGGACCGAAAACCATATAAAGACCGGATAAGTGAGCCCAACACCCAAAACTTAACCAACTCCATATCCTTTAAAGCATCAAACAACTCAAATCCCCACAAGCTAAATCTAAAATTAAGACCAAATTGGGACCAGACCGGGTCAAGACCGGACTGTCTCCAATCCAATATTTGGTCCTTATATTTTCGAAAAGACCAAACCAGGACCGGATTAATTCTGGGTCACAATTTGTTCCCTCAACTAAGAATTTAGGTGATAGATATTTCCAATGCGAGTATTTTGTTTATCTAGTTTTTGCAGGGACTCATTTTGTTGCTTTAGTATTTGGATATGGGAACCAGACGCAACGTTCCGTTCGAGGGTGTATTGATCCGATTGAGGGCGCCATAAAATCCTCCACGATATGCACCTTTTTTTTTTTTTTTAGCTCCATTGTTGTTCGTTCATCAACTAATATTTCAGGCGGAGGAATGGAGGTCGGCGTAGGAACGAAGGGGTTAAAAGAAAGAAGATAGGATTTTGTGTACTACCATGTTTGGGCTATTTTCCAGTGGATCTTTCCTACGTTGTCGCTTTGGATGCGATCACAATGTTCATCACACTCAGACAGGGGTATTCATGGGGAAGTGCTCTCCTCTTTTTATCTATCTGAGTCAATCTCGTGTCTTTTCGCTCCTCAGAGCTTTCACAGAGGTGCTCACCTTGTGACAAAAAAGGCTCTTTCATCGGGAGTCCGGTTGCATACGGACTATTGTTCTTTATTATTAAGTCTTGTATTGTGTTGTCCGGCCTGTCTTAGGGGCTTATCTTGGATTAAAAAAAATATAGACCGACAATAAAGATAAATTAAATTATGGAAAAAAGCGAAACACACGACAACAACATCAAAATAATTAAATAAATAAATTCTACCAAAAATAATAAAAAATAGATAAATGAGAAGAAAGGGAGGGAAGGAGACAGTGGGAAAATGGCGGAAGGAAATTGAACCGCAAACCCGGAATTGGGCCCGCCCCAAATCTGATGCAGCCAATCCCGTCTTCCTTCCTATATCATATCCCTCCGCTTCCTACTAGCACTGGGACCCGGCCTGTTGGCGGGAAAGCTTAGTCGAATTATTGCGTTGTTTTAGAAAGATGGACAACCCAATTCAATTAGTAAACTTAAAAATAAAAAAGAACGAAGCATGAAACAAGAGATTCTAAAGATGAATACTCTGAGTGATTGGTTAATTATTTGTAAGTTTTGTGTTTAAGAATAGTGAACTTTCGTGGCTACTATTGTCTGCTGTGTGAAGTTAACGTTTTGCCATGGATTGGTTTGCCATTGTTGACAAGTTCATTTTAGCCTATTTAAGTTGTTTTCAGGGCTGCCAATTTAAACTTCCAGAAACAAATTTATGAGTTCAAGTTACAGAATTCATGACCAATATACAGATTTCATTTATCAATCAAGTTACAAATTTTTCAGTTCAATTTACAGATTTCATGACCAATTTATCAGTTCGAGTTACAGATTACTGAAAAGAGTACAAAGTTTGTGACTCATCACTCATGGTAAGCTTTCATTGGAAGCTCATTTAAGCTCCATACACAGCTAATACTAGCTCATGCAGGTCCCTTGGCCAGTTTGTGACTCATGGTATTGGTGTATGAATGAATTCCATGTCTTTATATCATTTAGCTAGGTTATCAATCCTTGTTTTGCAGGGGGTCTGAACAGCAAAAAGTTGCAGCAGCTTTTAGAAACCATCTAATTTGCTGTGCTTTTAGAAATCATTGTTCCTTTGCCGCATAATTCCAAAACTAAACCACAAGAGCGGTTGTATACTTAGTATTAATGGGGCAAGCTTTAACAGAGGAAATCCTCTGGTGATTTTATGCGTCTCTTAAACTGTAAGGCATAGGGATTTATGACAAAGGGGTGATCAAATGCAGATTAAAAAATATTTTCATAAAGGAAGATCTCACCGCCTGTCAATCCTAGAACCATGGAGTTTCACATTTAGAATGAGTGTCTGTCTCATTAAACTGGACACTCTTCTCATTCTTAATAAATGGACTTCCACCATTCCATGGCGGCTCACTTTTCCATTTAGACCTTTCACCCTGACAAATACCCTCTCCTCCTTTAATCCCTCTGACCATTGCTTGGGGAAGCTGGGGATCCAACTGGGGTGAGCCATTTGAGAAATTGGGAGGAGATGAAGTGGGCAGCGATGATCCTGATGAGAATGCAACTGGTTGCGGAGTTGATGGGGAAGTCCGGAAAGGCACTGCAGCAGGCCGCACAGGTGAAGTAAATACCGGAGGGCCAGGTGGGGTGCTCAAGTGAGGAATTGGGCTTCCACTTGAAACTGCATTTGCCGGTGACATCAAGGTTGGGGTTTTCACAGAAGGAGAAAGGTGATCATGTTGCAACTTAGTGGGAGGAAATCTGGGAGGTCCAGCAAATACTTGAGGTGAAGAAGTAATATGACTTCTATCAGGTTGAGGGATTGATGCTTCAGGGTTGGAAGAACTAATTGCAACAGAGTACCCTCGGGAAGGTTGTTGTGGACTAGCCATTACAACTTAAATCTCTCTACTTGCAAGCAGCCGGAAAGTTGGAAGAAACCAGCTCAGACGTTCACCCTTTCAAAGTCTTAACAAGAGGACCAAACAGATCAATAAGGAAAAAGGGAGGCTCAACAGTAGCCGCTCAAGGGAAGCTCCACTACAAGCATTTCCAGAATGATTAAGGTGCTCGAGGACTATAAGCCCTCGTTAACATCAGAAGAAACTGGAATTGAGGTCCTAGATATACCAGATTGCAACACTAAAACCCCACAAGGAAAAAATGGATTTGAATGAGACCCCAGTTCAAGAAATCCCCAACCCACCAAAGAAACCTCCACAAAGCCTCAAACTTTCAGCTTCAATCACATAATTGAGATCACCTACGACTTCCACTTCTCTGCACAATCGTACTCCGCAATCCTTCCTTCGGCTACAGGTGAATAAACTAGATATGATACTACTTTGTTAACTGCTGCTATAACAAACTAGATATGATACTAACATAAAACATGTCTAGCCATAGGAATTAAATGGAGGTATCCCAATTGGAGCTTCAACAAGAGCTAATAAAAGTTTGGAACTACGAGTTGAACATAACATATTCAATGAAAAATTAAAATCCTTCAAATGACTCGATTGACCAGGCCTATTCCATTATCTCTGTGTTCGGCATTGCATTCCCACCTCTCCTGTTAGCCTCGGTATGATGTGCTACCAGCAAGAAGTCAAACATGTCTTGGGGGATGACAAGAGATGGGTTGGATTCCTTCAACGAGGCCATAGCATTACGCAATTCATTTGACAGATGAGATGTTTGTTGATCCAGCTTGTTTTGTACATCTTCGGGCAGCACAGATGCGTTTTGGGGTTATCACTTTTTCTTGATTTATCCTAGAAGCCTCAAGTTTTCTCTTTAATATGGTTGGCGTCACTCCTCGTCCATGGAATCGTAAATTTGGCCTCCTACCTAATTCTTCTTGCTCTTCTTCTCCTTCGATCTCCTCCAGGGGCAGTCTGTAACTCCTCAAATTGGACCTAAAGTGTCACACGTGATGAGATAAAGAACTTTCTATAAAACATAAGTTCTATGAGATCAATTCTTACTCTTGTATTTTCGTCCATATCGAGACCTTCATTCACTTTACGGGTTTTGAGAAACATTTCGCAGTTGGCTCTTCATCATTTCCCTTCTCCTTCTTCTACATTAATTGAACAAACAGATACATGAGATTTACTGTAAAGTTCTGAAATCACGGATACATAAAGTCTTTAGAATAATCTACCAGCTGGTGGCATTGTCATGCATAGCTCTTCCTTCCTGATTTATGTTGATTCACCTGACCCTCTCGAGCCTTAGTGTTTCTTGCACTTTGTTCCTGTAAATTCAATGAAATATTGCCAATTACGACTCTATGCATTATAGGCCAAGATTTTTTATTGATAGGAGGATACCTTCACAGCTGGCTTCTCCCAATGATCCAACAAATTCTCCATTATGTTTGTCGGAATTGTATCTGGACAATTTGCTAACTTTTCAGCTTCTTTTTTTGAACCCTTTCATCTTCCTTTTAGTAGAACACTTATGTATTCTCCATGCTGATGACACTGTCTTCATAACCCACTTCTCACAAATGGGTGGAAATATGTACTTGGACTACATGATACATGGATTGGAATGATTAACTTGGATTGAGATTGATTAACTTTAACGTGCTTTTTAAAATTACATCTTGGTCATGGTATCTTTCCATTTCATTAACATGCAATTGGAATGATTAATAAATTGACAAGACTCGCAATTAGAGTTGACTAGACTCTATGTAATTCACAACTTGTTCACTAGTTAAGTGGATGTATTGTTGTGAATGCATGCATTATGTTATATATGTGTTGTCGAATTTGATGCATTGTAAAATACAACGTTTGGTATGTGTGATTGTGCATGTCACATCAGCTAAAAGCTGAGATATGACAATCACTCATTTTGAGTGATAGTTTGTCACACCGCAGAAGCAATCCATGTATTGTTTATACTAAAAAATGTAAAAAAATGATGGATTCTAAACAATACATGTATAGTAACAATCTCATCAAAACAATCGCAACTACCAAACGACCCCTCAGTATAATTTCAAGTTAGATGACTTGCATCAATCTATACCATTAAAATCAGTTTTGACCGTTAATTATCAAAACGGTGGTAACCAGCAGTTCATGTCATCACTTAATAACATTTTACAATTGTTACGCAAAATAGACATCCATTACATTAATGATATGAACTAACATATATTTCTTGCATAATGTGTATTGTATTTTACGTAATGCGACCTGTGAAACCTGCTATAGCAGGTAAAAAATTCAAGTGAGCTTACTTGAAGGCATTGTAGGAAATTTCGATAATTATATGCTATAGTTATTCCAATAATAATCTACCTCGTAAATTATGTCTCATACGATGAAGGGTCATACTGGTGTACTCCTAAATTTACAATACTCCAGATACCCTAGTGAGATTTCTTTATCTGGCCCGTGATTTAATTGATTCTTGGGTATGATATTGTTCTCTAACCTCTAATTAATGAAAACCTCACGAATTTTGGTATTCATTTTACAGTTTACATATAGAAAATGGACGAGAGTTGGTTATCGAAACCAAGAGCAACATATAATGAAAATCACATCTACTCATGGATAATAACATATAACACTATGCCAAAATTTAATATATAATGACACATGGATAATAAAATGTTCATACTTGGATCCAACATAACATGAAAATTCAAACAGATAAAACAACAATATTCAAATGTTCAACTTAGAATTCCAAAAGTAAGGATGTGCTATGGGGTTAAATGAAAAGAGGCGTAATTCACTAACCGAATATGATGCATGTAGTTTGTTGCATGTAAATTGAGGAATCATCACCGTTGATTATTATTTCTAATTAAATCGATCTTAGTGTGTAATACTTAAGAAATTAGAACATAAATTTTAATCTTTAATGGTTAGAGTATGTGCAAAATTTCGGTCAATTAATAATCTAAATAATATTTCTTACTTAGAATATAGCATACTCTTTGATTCTACTCAAAATCATCTATATATATCACAACTGATGCTTTATATATTTTTATATATAACTGGCATGCAGTGTATTACTTAGAGAGCCAGCCCTGATATATATATATTTTAATATATATTACTTACTCTATACGGCAAAAAAAGCATTCTAACTATAAATGATTTGCCCTCATCTACTTTTGCCTTCAACTCCATTCATTAATTGTTTAACTAAATACTATTTTTGAGAAAAAATCAATTAAAATATTGAAAAGGAAATCTCGGTGTCCTTTTATATTCTTAAATCTTGGGTTTTTTCAAGTTGCCTTAGAAAGAAACCCTTTATCACTCTCCCGAATCCCCAAGACTTCTATCCTCTGGCCTCTTTTCCAGTCGCTCGCCAAGCTTCACATCGCCATCAACTGGTATTTTTTACTTTTTTCTCTTTACAGCAATACAAAAAAACTTGAACCTCTCCGGCTCTCCCCATGTATGACAGGATATATACACGTGTTTTTTGTTTCGGCAGCAATGAGCACCGGTTTTACCACCTATAAAAGAAGAGGAAGCAAGAGACGGTTAGAGCCGGACTATGATACAAAAGAGACACGATCGCAATCTCCTGAGGACGAATACGATTCGAACAAGACGCAGAATGATGTAGGGAATATACAAGAAGACTTGTTATTTGTACCGTCCTTTGAAATTAACCCGGAAACTACAAAAGGTACGTTGTATTTAGTTAGTTTTTTCTCCCGGCGATGCAACCGTGTTTGCTCTTCTAGGCTCTAGCCATAGCCGTAACACCTACACATTTGCTCCTTAAACGAAGTGGATTAGCTTATTTACTAGCTTTTATTAACTTACCATGTAGGATTTTACCTAAGTTTTGGGTCTTCTGTTTGTGGCCTTAACTTAATAAACAACCACATAAATCATAATGAAAGCCACGGTCAGAACCTAGTGCCATCTAATTAACATGCTGTTTTTTTTAATGTTCAGCAGGAAATAAGAGAGGCGTCACAACCTGCAATGCTGTCGTGCTGGCCACTAAAGATGGGGATAAGTTGGAGGTTTATTTTCCGGAATCAGGGACACAAGCTGTAGGCAATAATGCTCGGCATCTAGTTAGTTTTTGCGGAGTTGTCATCAGGAAACATGTTCAGTTGAGAAACAAGAGTTGGGATGAGGTGGAGGAAGAAATTGGCAATAAATTGTGTTCTTTAGTGGAGGTGAGATCATTTTTGGACTTATCATTTATGTAGTTAATATTAATTTTGCTCATGTAAAAGATTCTTCAATATATAATATTAACCTACTGTGTATGTAGGATAAATTCAAGAGCAATTGCAGTGAGAAACTCAGATCTTTTATATTGAAGAAACTGAAAAAGGCGTATTCAACCATGTGTTATAACACGCGCAAAAAAATTCAAAAGATGGATGAAAGTCAAAGGGAGAGTTATGTTGCTCAAGGCATTGCTAGTGAAGACCGGAAACGAGGTATTGCCAAGTGGGAATCAGAAACATTTAAAGTAAGTACACATCTTAAAATGAATTATATGAAAGTTTTGCCTATTTTTTCTTTAGTACATTAATATTAGACTATGACTTTAATAGGAAAAGAGTGCCATAAATAAAAATAATAGATCCCAAGTGAAAGTGAAGAACGTTTCTGGTTCAAGATCTCATGATGAAATTGAATTTAACATGGTAATGAATTTATAGTTTTTGTATTAAGTGAATTTATAGTTTTTACTTCTAGTGTAGCTTATATTTTTCAACCTTATATCACATTTTCAGTTTTATTAACATGCATGTTTTAAGTTGAATGATGACATTGAAATTGTAGATAGATCCAGAAACTGGGATTGAGAAGTCTGCTGACGAAGTGTGGCGTGATCAGCATATGAAGAAGAATGAGAAAGGAGAGATGGTGTGACGAGACATCAAAATCAATTTATGTAAGTAACCTTTCTTTATTGTTTTGTTCAATGAGTTATTTTACATTCATTTCATTTTGAAAATCTAAATGTGGAATTAAATTATTTGTTTTTACAGGGAAAAATAAAAGAGATTATTAAACTTGGAACTTTCTTGTATAACAAAGAGATAATACTATAAGCGAAGGGCAAGTCCTCATCTCGACGTGTAAAGAGGCCACAAACCATTTTAGTCGGGGAAGAAGCTAGAGCTGCAATAAGAAAAGAGATCTACTCGAAGTTAAAACATCAGTTTGAGGCGCAACTAGAAGAGGCAAATAAGAAATGGGAACAAAAGCTAGCTGACCTCCAAGAGCAACATGATGAAGACATGAGACAGCTATTGCGTCCGAACTGAAGTTTATGAACTTAATGATCGATAAACAACAACCTCATTAGTGCTATGTTTTGATTGTTTGGAATACTATTTAAAGTTTTTAGTAGCCAAATAGGAGTTTCACGATATTTTTTCTATTATCTAGTGAATTTGCTATTATTATTTTAATGATCATTTTTCTCTATTATCTATTTGAAATTGTGATGAGATATGTTCTCACCATTCATATTAGAAGTGACAAATATTCTTCTCACTGAAAAAAGTTTGGTAGAGACCTGTAGCCAAAAACTTTGTCACCAAATATGCATATTTGTGACGCATGTTAATCTCGCGTTTGGTGTATATTTGTGTCAGCAATCTTTGTCACAAAAAAAGACTATGACAAATTGAATTATCACTAGAGGTGGCAAATGGATTGGATTGGTGGATTGGATTAGTGGATCCATGGATCAAATGGATTGGATCTAATGGATTGGTGGATTCATGGATTGGATCAAGTGGATTGGTGGATTATCCATGAATCCAAATGACATCCTCAACAAAGGACCAATATGTAAAATGTAAAAAGTTTAGGTACTAAAATGTCATAATGAAAAATTTTAGGTACCAAAACGTAATTTTCCAATGATATTTTTCGTATAAAAAATTAAATTTTAGGTACCAAAATATAAAAAATAAAAATTATAGGTACTAAACCGTAATTTGCCAATGATCCATGGATCCAATCCATGAATCCACCAATCCAATTGGATTTGGATTTAAATGGATTGGATTAGGTGGATATTTTTAATGGATTGATGGATTGGATTGTGATAGGGCAAAAGCGTATAGCTTCAATTCCTATCTTGTAGTAAAACCGGAAAGTCCGGGTATCGTCTCTTAGGGACTCGTACAACCTTAAGTTCTATCAATTTTATGAGCAAACTATAAGTGAAAATAGTTTAATGAGACTAATTTCTAAAAGCAAAATAAACTAATTAAGCAAAGTAAACTTGTCGGGGGAAATTCAATGAAGAAAGCTCTGGGAGAAACACCGGAATTCACTATCTATCCTATCCAGATTAATTCACTTATTCCAATCAATTTAATCCATACCTCTACAGCCAGGATATCACGAATGTGCTAGCTATCCCTGTCGGGAATTACTACGTACTAAATAATCAATTCAAATCCTACTGTCGTAGCTCAATGAATTAACTATATAGTCTGAAGATCGATATCCTATTTAAGACCGCATAGCACCTTATTTAATCCACTGTCGCTTTGATAAGTTACTATGTCACATGAAATATGTTCAGTTAATAGGGTTTCACTGTCGCTAATAACCTAATTAACTACGATTCATTGTATTGGTGGCCAGTCAACACAAAGCATTAAGTAATGTCATGCAATAGATATTGGAGGAAAAGAATTACGAATCAATCCATCAAATCAAGAAATAGCTACATCCTATGGTGTTTCCCCCCAGAAATCGGGATTTAGTTCATAAATAAATTGAGATAAAACAATAGGGTTTTGTTCATCATGTTCTAAATCAACAAATAACAACTAATTTGATTCAGAAAATCCAACCAAATAATCGCTCTTGTTGAACTCAGCTCAAACCTGAGAAAACTTATCACCAATTGCCTCTCCGCGCTGCTCGCGTTTCGCGTCCCAAGCTTGCTCGGTGCTGCCGCTCTGCCCAAAAGAATTCTCTCTTGTTCCGTCTCCTTCCTGATTATAATTCCGCCCCAAAATAAAACAAAAGTTGCCTCTCTCTCGCCTAAGAATTCCCAAAAGACTTCCGTCTTTTTCTTTCTCTTCCCCTGGTATATTTCTGAATTAATTGCCTTCTTCCTCCCGTAATATAATAGCCGCCCTCCAATTTTTGTTTCCGTCCCCATTCCCTGTCCAATAAAATCACTCCTCCAAATAATTCCCTCTCCCGTATACGTATAATTCTTCTCCCCTCAAATAATAGCCTTGTCCCTGCTTCCTTTTGCTTTGTTTCGCCCAAAAGAAAAGTCCGCCCACTCCTGGCCCAAATCCTCCTGGCCCCGCTTCTCCCTTCCATGGTCCGGTCCAAATCATTTGGAGAATAACCCCGGTCCAAGAATTTCACGTTGAAAATTTGTTGCACAACTTTCATGTTCTATTTATACATTAATAGCTCCATGTTTTCAACCTAAAATATATCAAAATACTAGTACGTAGCTCCATGTTTTTCACCTAAATATATCAAAATACTAGCACGTACTGGTAATGGTCTTATAACCATTCCATAGTCAGTTGGCATTAAAACAAGCATTATATGTCTCAAACATATGATGTTATAATCACATTAAGCACACAAAATCAATATGTTCTCGACAATTATCAGATTGAAATTGCCACCTCTATTTATCACCAATGCAGCATTTTTGTGATCATCATAATTGTCAAAATAGATACCTTTAGTGATGAAAAGCTAGTCACTAATGATAGTAATCTACAATGTCTGTGTCGACTGTCGCAACCGCCCTTCGAGATCGGAGGTACCGCTCGCGATTGCTCGGAGTCGCCATCGACCGCAGCTTGGGGTGGGTCGAACACCCATTTCCGGTTTTGTTATTTAGGTTAAAACCAGAAATCTGGTCTGCGAATTTTAGGTTTATGGGTTCGAGAGTACGATTACGTGTGGGGAAGTGTATTCAGACCCCACAACGCCCCAAATGGGTACTACTTAAATCGATAAATTTTTAAGAATTGGGTGTATTATTATTTGCGGCTTTCTTGATGTATTTAATCAAAGGATTCAATTAAATTGACATTTATTGATATATGATTCGATCATATATCTATTGACGTAAATCTCGAAGAAAATAAGTGTTATTGATTAGTTGGACTCGAACCTATTGGTTGCCTACGTACCCGAGTAGTCGGGATCAAAGTCCACGTAGTTCGGTCAAATTGAGTTATTAAAATGTTGTTAAATAGATCTAAACACGTCTCTATTGATAAGCGTTTAAGGCTTGAGATTGAGTATTTGTGAAAATGTACTTTGATGTTTTTAGCAATATTTGAAAGAGTTTGTTTTTAAGTAAAAGGTCTATTGACCATGATTTGTATTAACGATCTTTGCAAAATGATTTCAAATGCAGACGAGTAATTTATTAATAATTAGAAGGCAAGGTATTAAAAAATTTATCGTGGTTAGAACGAATTTCCACGAGATAACAGAAGTAATTTATTTGTAAGTTACGTATTAAGTTTAGTTAAAATTAATCGAGATTAACACATTGATATGTGGCGGACTATCAGCCTATTGGTTTAAATTGTTGACCAGACTTTTCGTTGACATTTGGGTCATGGTTCGAATCCCAGGTAGAGTCAATTTTTGGTCATTTTAAACCCTATTAACGGCGTCGTTTAAGTTTAAAACAATTTCTTTAACCCTGGAGTCATATAACACACGAAACCCTAATCATCCTAAGCTAAGCGCCGCTCACCCCTCTGTCTCCTTTCTCGTTTCTCTCTTATTCCTGCCCGAAAAAGGAAGGAAGAAAACAGAGCAAATCAATTCAATCTACCACCTCACTCTCCCAATCTTCTAATCATTCCCTATCTCGATAGGCCCTGTTCTTCCCTAGCTAGAGTCGATTTGTTCTCTTCTTTCTCCTTTTATGGTGATGGCGAGAAGAAAGGAACCTCGGCGATTGAGGATGGCGGTGACGAAGGTGGTTGGCGCCGGCGATGATGAGGACGGCGGCGGCGAAGGGCAGAGGTAGGTATTTTCGGGTTTGCATGTCATTTTTAGGGGGTTTGATTCGATTGTTTAGGGTTCTGATCGCATTTTCTGGTTTTTCTGTTAGGGTTCTGGAGGACGAGGAGGATCAACGAGCTGGAGCAATCGCTGGCAGGCTCGAGAAACCTCGGGCGGCGGTGGTGACTCGTGGTTCCGGTTTTGGGTCTCGTGTAAAGAGAGGAGTAACGAGCCGAGCAGCCGCCGACCGTCCCGGATCCCGTCGGCGGTGACGAAATTAGGACATGTGAGACTTTAAGCGCCGCCAGCGGCGGTTAGTCGTTCCACCGACGAGGGGTACTGGTAAGTTTCGATTTATGGGTTATTCTGTCTCTTTTATGTTCCATTATATGGGTTTTAATTATTTTCTATTGCTTTCTTTTTGTTGGTTACGGACGAAGACAAGGGAAAATGGAGACCGCTGACAACTCTGGACTGTATCAGTGGTTAGGGAGGTCAGCTGGCCAGCTCGTCCATCTCGCTGGCGACGAGGGCAGATGGAAGCAGAAGGTAAATTCGTTTGGTTTAGGATTTGGTGATCTGTGTTTTAATGGTTGGTTTACTCATGTTAATTGGTTTGTGGTGATTGTGATTCTGAGTTTTATGCTTGATTATTAGCGACTTATGATGAGAAGAAATTGTGAGGTTTCGGTTTAGTTGATACCTCAAATCTAGAATTAAAAGTAGATTAATTTATGTGTTTAGTTGTAAGATGATGGAAATTTGGGTTGTTTATATCAGTATTGAAACTGGGGATTTGTATGTATGACTGGGTTTTAAGACTAAGCTTATGTGTTTATGTGATGTATTGGGAAATCTGTTCTGGGTTTTTTTATGTAACCTGTGTATGGGTTTAGAAATGGGAGTTTGTTTGTAATATGGAATTTAGTGATATTTGCTGTGATTTTACATTCTGCAAAGTTTGTGGGTTATGATAATGGTGGTCGAATGGTATGCTTGGGGGTTTCGATGGCTTAAAGGTGTTAAAATTATAGGTTTAAAATGGGGTTTTGGGACCTTGAGTTTTTTACGGTTACTGGTATTATGGAACCAGTGGTATTTCTGAAGTACTTATTGCTGGAAGTTTGTGTTTTTGCGAGTTTACAGAGTCTGTATGTTTGTTTATGATTGTTTTTCTATTGAAAATAAGTTTAGATTAGTTTTTTTGTGAGATTTAACATACAAAGTTCATCTAAATTAGAGGAATAATAGCAAGAAGATGAATAATGAACATATCTGAGTTTTGTCATGGTTTTGAAACATGTGCAAGTTTAGATAATTTGGGTTAGTTAATAAAGAGTAGCTAAAGTCAGCTTAAAGAAAAATAAGAATCAGAGTAGAACCTCATAAAGTCAAGAGATGAAGAATAATAGTCTAAGTATGGATGTGGAGATAAATGTATGAGAATGATCATCATGATAGGGGAATAGTGACCTGGTTTATGCTGGTCTGATCTGTGTTTGGGTCTCTTGCTCCCTTCTGTTGTCTGCTTCTACTTAGTTTCTTTTGTGCCTTTTGCTGAGCTGGACCCTCAAACTCTGATCCCTTCCCATTTTCGGTGGAATCTTTGCTGCTTCCTTCCTTTTTGTCAGTTTTTTGGTTGCTAGGACTGTGTTTCTATTGTTGTTATTGTGTATGTTTTGGTATGTTCCAAAAGAAGAAGGAAACTGTGATTTTTCAGGGGTTTGTTCCCTCTTTTTCAGAGTGGTTCACAAGAAGGGGGGAACTAGAGTATTTTGCTGAGATTTATTTGATCTTTCTTTCTGTCTATTTTCGGTTTTAGTTGAATGTTTGAGGAAAGGGAAGTTTTAAAGAGTTTTTGTTGTCTCTGTTTTCAGGGGAAGAAGAGGAGGAAGAAGAAGAAAGTGTTATCCATGTCGGAAGAAGAAGAAGCAGCAGGGGATCTTTCCCCTTTCTCTCGTCTGTGTGTGCGTTGTAGGGGAAAGTAGAAAGAGAAGAAGAGTCTCACTTCTCCTCCTTAAATTTTTGGTTCTCTCTGTATAAGAAAGAAAGAAGAAGAGTCAGCAGATGCGTGGGGAAGAAGAAAAGGCCCACCTCTGTTGTTGGCGAAAAATCAAGCCGCCCCTAGAATAATCAGCCCCCACTCCCCTTTTATAATACAAAAATCCACCGTAGCTTAGGTTTCTGTCATCCCTTGATTGACTGTTAGGGTAGTAGACTTTGTGTATTTTTCTGATTGGTTGATAATTGGGCTGGGCTTGGTCTGGTCGAACCGGTTTGGTTTTGCCTAGATTGGGCCTAGTTCGAATTTGGGTTGGCCTGGTGTTAGACTTTTTGGGCTCTGAGTTCTGTTGACTTGGGCATGGGTCAGAATTGATTGGGCTTGACTTTATTGACTAGGTTTAACCCGAATTGACTTTTGTGACTTGGTTTTGGGTTTTGACTAGGGCCCTTTTATTTTGTCCCATAACTGATTGTAATCAATTATAACCGTAAATTTTGTAATTATAATGTAATGAAGAAGCCAGTAGAAGGTTTTTATATTTTCTTTCTTTGCCATTCCAAAATCGAGACATTCCCTAAACCCCATTGCCATCAAAATAACTCAATAGCAGCGAGATTAAGCAATTGCCTAATTCGTTTTACCGGTTCAATCAATCACCTTCAAAACTCTATCAACCAAGAATCAAATTTGACATCACCTCAAATCCATATTCACATCTAAGATTTGCTATTGCTAATCTTGATGGTCCATGACAAATATGTTTTACCTTAAGCACTTCGAGTATCACTTTAGATGTTTAAAATTTGAGATTGCCAACTTTACGCAATCTAGTTTATTTAATTAAATTGTGTTTTAGCCCGGACAAAAAATGGTGTCTACAGTTGCCCCCCTTTGTATATCTCTTGGTATTTAAGAGGTATACAAAGTGATTATAACACACCATTTTTGCCGGTTTATTAATAGGGTTGTGATTATTTGTAGTTTGATGCACTCACTAGCTTCGTTGAAGTAATTTGAAAACTAAGTCATTGATTAGCTCCCACTCCGTGAGCCAAATTCGGTTGTTAATTAGTTCTTTGGCAGTGTAGCCGACTTCTGGGTGCCAATTGGCTTCCCTTATAGTGTAGCCGTGCCATGAGTACGGATTAGCTCCCTGGCCGTGTAGCCTAGATGTAGGTACTAATTAGTTTCTCGCAATGTAGCCAACTTGTGGGTGCTAATTGGTTTCCTCCGCTGTGTAGCCGTGTAAGGGTTACTGATTATAATGGTAATGACAATGTATTCAAGTTGTTTGGGAAAAACGAGCTAAACAAGTTGAAAGGTGATATAAAAGAGCATTCAAGTTGTTCGAAGTATAACATGCTAAACAAATTGAATTATGATGCAATCAAATTGTTCGGGGTACTACATGCTGAACATATATTGATGGCATAGCTAACGGGGTTGTCCGGGATATAACAAGCTAGACATTTTTTAACAATGCAATCAAGTTGTTCGGGATATGACAGATTGAACATTTATTGAAGCCAAAGTTATGAGGTTGTCCGGGGTATGACATGCTGGACATTTTTTTTATAATTGCAATGCAATCAAGTTGTTCGCGGTATGACATGTTGAACATTTGTTGATGGCAAAGCTTTGGGTTGTCCGGGATATGACATGCTAGAGATCTTAGATAATGCAATCAAGTTTTTCGGGGTATGACCTGCTAAACATTTATTGATGGCAATGCTATCAAGTTGTTCGGAATATGACGGGCTGAACATTTATTGATGGCAATGCGATAGATTGTCCAGGATATGACATGCTAGACATTTTAATGCATGGTCATAATGAGTATGAGTGTTTTGTGAGGTAATCATGAGATGGGTAATGTTTAATGAATGATAATGTCGTGTTACGAAAGATATGCGAGGGGGAGAGTGCGATATAGCAATGATTGGGTTTGTTTGCTCTTGTGGCAGTATAGATTGGTTTAGAGTTTCTGATCCCATGGTGGTATAGCTTGATTTAGGTGTGCTCCCATAGCAATATAGTTTGATTTGGGTATGTTATCTCTCATGCTGTATAGCTTGATTTGGATTTTCTGTCCCCGATATATCCTGGTTTGGGTGTGCTTCTTGTGGCGGTATAGCCTGATTTGTGTTTTTATCCATGGCGGTATAGCCTAATTTTGGTTTTTTTGTATGGCGGTATAGCATGCTTTTGTTTTTTTGTATAGTGTTTGTGTGGCGGTAATGCCCATGTGGTTTTGTTTTTGTATGGCGGTATAGCTTGTGTTGGTTTTTTTTAGTTATTCTTGGCGGTAGGGCCTGAGTTGGAGCATCATAGGGCGGGAAAATGAAAGATGTTGTATTACGTGATATGACATGATGTTATGTCGTGATTTGAAATGTTGTTGAAAGGGTATTGCCTGATTGATATTTACTTTGGCTGTGAATTCCTTGAAGCTAGTCATTTAATGAATGATATGATATGACTGTATGATGAGCTATATGATGATTTGCTGAAAAGTATGCGAATGAAAAGGTATGATCGTTCATCATGGTTTAATATTAATATCTAGAATTCTCTTAAATCAATCATCCACAAAGAACTACATCATTGTCCCTTTAGTAAGCTTGATCTTTAGTTGTGCTTGCGCTGGAGTAGAATGGATGTCGTTGGTGGGTACTTTCTTCCTTCTCCACCTTGGACACTAGTGTTTGAGTGGCTGATGTGTTTGCCAAATGATCTTCTTATTCATGATATTTGCCTTGTAGATTGATTATGTAGGACGATTATGTAGCATGGTGGTATCACAATAGTGTGCTCATTTAATTGATCTTCTTGCCATGTGAGCATGTCGTGCTTGGCTAAGAGGATTTTTTTATCTCGGGGTATTGTCTTGTTGATGTCGATTTTCTAGACATGCTTGATTGATTTCACCGAGAGGCTGGATGTACAAAATATTTCGTTGAAGAATAGTTTGATTGACAGGTTGGGTAGCTTGAACGGAATGATTCAGAATACATGAGATTCCCCATTTACTCATGAGTTGATGGACTTGGAGAACCACTTCATGGGTATTTGAACTGCTTCTACTCCGGGTCTTCTCACCTTGCCCCCGTAGATATGTTACTTGTTTTCCTCTTTTCGAAACAAAATGTGACTTTTACCAATCTTGACTTAAGATGAATGCAACAAAGTTTGGAAATTCTCATTTGAGAAAGTATAATGGGAACTCGTTTTTAGAAATCAAAGCCTCACTTGAGGGAAGCGTGTGCAACATGAGAAAAAGATTTCTTGTGTGGTTATTGCCACATTGTTTAAAAACTTCTTTCATAAGCCAAGCCATGAGAATATTCATAAGCCCTCTCATTCTCACTCTCAGTTTCACTCTCACTCAATCCTATGGGTGCTTCGAGTTTACGATACTTCAGCTACTATCAAGATTCTTGTCACCATGTTGAGGGGAAAAGTGTGCCTCATGTATAGGTTTGTTGATCATGGAGAGTTCAGGTGATCTTTGTACGTTCTCATGGTAAAAGTTCTTGAACTTTCCTGAAAGAAACTTGGTTTGGTATGACTCCAACTGTAAGAGTTCTCATGGTATGGAAATTATGCTTGTCGCAAATGAGAGGTTGGTAAAGGAAGATCCTATGATATGGTCTTAGTCATAGGCAACTTCATTTTGAGGATTTTTGGCTTGCCCCAAGGTATGAATCTGGTTGATATATAATGGGGATCGTCTTTTCTTGTTGTGAGAAGTTCCTTGTGGAGGGATGTTTGGCTTTCCCAAAGTATGAGACTGATTCATGGGTAAATGAAATCTTTGTTGTGGAGCTCACTTTTTTCTGATAATGGTGGCTCGTCTTGGGTATCCTTGCGGGTATATTTTGGCTTAGGTTGCCCCCTTGTCTTGAAATTTTGATTTTGAGGGATAAGCTCGACTAGGTAATTTGAGTAGAAATTTGATCCTGGAAATCTTGTCACTTGTCGGACCCTTTTTTTACCTTGAAAGGATGGATGATGAAGGTCTTGGTATGATACAAGCTTTGACTTCTCATTGGTTGTCAAAATAATGAATGTGGAAAACCCTTCTGTGGTGCAGGCATGGCTGCTGAAGTATTATTATAATGGTGGTTTTTGTTTATCTCGAAAGGGAGAGTTCAAGTGATGGAAAATGAGGATGATCATGGAGTGGATTTTCGACCAGGCAGACATTCTTCTCTTGGGTGCCCCATCTTTTTCGAGTTTACTTGTGTCATTTCTTCAGGTTTGGCAGACGAATACTCTTCATTTGGATAGGTGATTAGTTTGATGACTAGCCCTCGCAGGAGTGTGTAGACAAGTTGGTTGAGAGAATGACTCTACATCGCTTTTGTGACCATGTTGACGGTAGACTCGAAATCATCCTTTTGGCATTTTAGAAAAGGTAGTCAATAACATTCAATCGTGACTAGTTTTATGACTTCAAGCGCTCGTGCAGGGGTATCTAACGTGTAAGTCCCACGAGCTTTTTCAGTCTTCCTTTTTATTTTGATTTTTTCGTTGCCTTTTTGGCCTTTTTCTATTTTTGCTCTTTTTTTGTGTGGGACTTACTTGACTTTGTAATTTCCCCTACCTGGTGTCATTTTGACGCTTTTGATTTTGAGCACCAACGAGTTCATCAAATAGGATCATTCAGCTTCCTCAACCTTCTAACCATGAGGATTCTGTGAGAAACTTGAGAATTTTGATACAGTAATTAGGCTAACTCAACCCCCTTTCTAGTCGAGCCCCTATTTGATAGAGATGTTCGAAATGGCAGTGACAAGCCTCTACAAATAGCCTGATGTCGTATCCTCGTTACACCCTTTGACTATTTAGCTTACGTTACTTATGGACACCAGTGGGGTGTTTATACTCTCAAGTTTAGTGCGGGTGCTCAAACTCTCGACACCGGTAGGGTGTGCACACTCTGCTGCAAAAATTATTGATATTGACTAGGTATTTATAAATCACTCGACACTAGTGGGGCGCTTATATTGGCTTAATATGAAAATCTCATGGCTTAACTTGAGACCAAGTTTATCTTAAAGTTTTTTTTTATTTGGAAAGATGTCCATCATTTTGTAAAGAGAAGGAATCATTGATGCAAACTTCTAAATCAAAATTGGTAGTAGTCACACAATGTCCCAAATCGGTGGAAATGCAAATGACATTCTATTCTTTAGTATGAAGGAGATTGTTTGATACATAAGGTAATACGCATTCATGCTCATTTGCTCGTGAGGATTGACATCATTATTGAATAGAGCTTCGTCTTGCAGTGTGCCAACTAATCCCCATGAGTGGTCAATGGGTCATTGTCGATGTATGGACGATTGGCTTCTTCTTTGAATTTTCAAAAAACTTATCGTGGGTTGTCGTTGAAGTTTGGACAATTGGCTTATTCTTTGAATTTTCGACAAACTTCTCGTGAACATGGCAACTTGTCATTTCATTTCTTCATATATGGTTGACCTTCTTTTGGTGTCATCAAATTGCTTCTAGAATGAACTCCGTAACGAGCACAACCTTGGAACTTATACTCAAAGGTTGACTTTATCCTTGTGAATGAGCAACTTTAGAGAATCCTTGACTTATCATGGTTAAATTGTGACATGTTTCTAACTGAGATGAGTGAATGATAGTCATGCTAAATGAGATGAATGTAAGACAGTCATGTTAAATGGTACGATTGTGCGTATGAAAGATGATTTTTTTTTGAGTGGATGCATGTGCACTTTGTAAAAATGTAACAAGATTACTCTGAATACATAAACGAGGAAATGATTGTATCATGCCTTTATGCATAAAAACATATCGAGTCTCTCACAAATAATTAACACAACACACATGACCCACGACATAAGCAAAACACGAATTGATCATAAAAAAACCTTTCACGATCTTCGCCATGTCGAGGTAAACCTAGAGCTTTTGGAAACATTACGTTGTATTAGGACATGCTTTGGGATAAGTTGCGGCTTAGGCAGTTTCTAGGCAAACTATATGCTGGATAGGAACCTTAAGGAATTAGGCTCCCAAGTTGTACCACACTATCACCCTTTCGAGCTTTAGCATGATACCCCAAATCATCCTCGGATTTGAGTTCAACCTGGTTGGGAAGTTTTCGCATTTCCCCTACTATTGTAGGAGTCACACTACTTCCTTCCTTTTTTGCTATAAGGACCGCTCGGGAATAGAGCTTTATGGATGGATGCGAAGAATTGAAATACATAACAAATTTAAAGCGCAAATTGATGTAATAAACACATAACACCCATTATAAGAAAGTAAAAAAAACTTATCGACGATTAATGTAGTTTGACTCTAGTATGTCCCCAGCGGAGTCGCCACTGTCGCAACCGCCCTTTGAGATCGGAGGTACCGCTCGCAATTGCTCGGAGTCGCCATCGACCGCAGCTTGGGGTGGGTCGAACACCCATTTTCGGTTTTGTTATTTAGGTTAAAACCAGAAATCTGGTCTGTGAATTTTAGGTTTATGGGTTCGAGAGTACGATTACGTGTGGGGAAGTGTATTCACACCCCACAACGCCCCAAATGGGTACTACTTAAATCGATAAGTTTTTAAGAATTGGGTATATTATTATTTGCGGCTTTCTTGATGTATTTAATCAAAGGATTCAATTAAATTGACATTTATCGATATATGATTCGATCATATATCTATTGACGTAAATCTTGAAGAAAATAAGTGTTATTGATTAGTTGGACTCGAACCTATTGGTTGCCTACATACCCGAGTAGTCGGGATCAAAGTCCACGTAGTTCGGTCAAATTGAGTTATTAAAATGTTGTTAAATAGATCTAAACACGTCTCTATTGATACGCGTTTAAGGCTTGAGATTGAGTATTTGTGAATATGTACTTTGATGTTTTTAGCAATATTTGAAAGAGTTTGTTTTTAAGTAAAAGGTCTATTGACCATGATTTGTATTAACGATCTTTGCAAAATGATTTCAAATGCAGACGAGTAATTTAATAATAATTAGAAGGCAAGGTATTAAAAAATTTATCGTGGTTAGAACGAATTTCCAAGAGATAACAGAAGTAATTTATTTGTAAGTTACGTATTAAGTTTAGTTAAAATTAATCGAGATTAACACATTGATATGTGGCGGACTATCAGCCTATTGGTTTAAATTGTTGACCAGACTTTTGGTTGACATTTGGGTCATGGGTTCATTGGTTTAAATTGTTGACCAGACTTTTCGTTGACATTTGGGTCACGGGTTCGAATCCCAGGTAGAGTCAATTTTTGGTCGTTTTAAACCCTATTAACGGCGTCGTTTAAGTTTAAAACAATTTCTTTAACCCTGGAGTCATATAACACACGAAACCCTAATCATCCTAAGCTAAGCGCCGCTCACCCCTCTGTCTCCTTTCTCGTTTCTCTCTTATTCCTGCCCGAAAAAGGAAGGAAGAAAACAGAGCAAATCAATTCAATCTACCACCTCACTCTCCCAATCTTCTAATCATTCCCTATCTCGATAGGCCCTGTTCTTCCCTAGCTAGAGTCGATTTGTTCTCTTCTTTCTCCTTTTATGGTGATGGCGAGAAGAAAGGAACGTCGGCGATTGAGGATGGCGGTGACGAAGGTGGTTGGCGCCGGCGATGATGAGGACGGCGGCGGTGAAGGGCAGAGGTAGGTATTTTCGGGTTTGCATGTCATTTTTAGGGGGTTTGATTCGATTGTTTAGGGTTCTGATCGCATTTTCTGGTTTTTTTGTTAGGGTTCTGGAGGACGGGGAGGATCAACGAGCTGGAGCAATTGCTGGCAGGCTCGAGAAACCTCGGGGGGCGGTGGTGACTCGTGGTTCCGGTTTTGGGTCTCGTGTAAAGAGAGGAGTAACGAGCCGAGCAGCCGCCGACCGTCCCGGATCCCGTCGGCGGTGACGAAACTAGGACATGTGAGACTTTAAGCGCCGCCAGCGGCGGTTAGTCGTTCCACCGACGAGGGGTACTGGTAAGTTTCGATTATGGGTTATTCTGTCTCTTTTATGTTCCATTATATGGGTTTTAATTATTTTCTATTGCTTTCTTTTTGTTGGTTACGGACGAAGACAAGGGAAAATGGAGACCGCTGACAACTCTGGACTGTATCAGCGGTGAGGGAGGTCAGCTGGCCAGCTCGTCCATCTCGCTGGCGACGAGGGCAGATGGAAGCAGAAGGTAAATTCGTTTGGTTTAGGATTTGGTGATCTGTGTTTTAATGGTTGGTTTACTCATGTTAATTGGTTTGTGGTGATTGTGATTCTGAGTTTTATGCTTGATTATTAGAGACTTTTGATGAGAAGAAATTGTGAGGTTTCGGTTTAGTTGATACCTCAAATCTAGAATTAAAAGTAGATTAATTTATGTGTTTAGTTGTAAGATGATGGAAATTTGGGTTGTTTATATCGGTATTGAAACTGGGGATTTGTATGTATGACTGGGTTTTAAGACTAAGCTTATGTGTTTATGTGATGTATTGGGAAATCTGTTCTGGGTTTTTTTTATGTAACCTGTGTATGGGTTTAGAAATGGGAGTTTGTTTGTAATCTGGAATTAAGTGATATTTGCTGTGATTTTACATTCTGCAAAGTCTGTGGGTTATGATAATGGTGGTCGAATGGTATGCTTGGGGGTTTCGATGGCTTAAAGGTGTTAAAATTATAGGTTTAAAATGGGGTTTTGGGACCTTGAGTTTTTTACGGTTACTGGTATTATGGAACCAGTGGTATTTCTGAAGTACTTACTGCTGGAAGTTTGTGTTTTTGCGAGTTTAGAGAGTCTGTATGTTTGTTTATGATTGTTTTTCTATTGAAAATAAGTTTAGATTAGTTTTTTTGTGAGATTTAACATACAAAGTTCATCTAAATAAGAGGAATAATAGCAAGAAGATGAATAATGAACATATCTGAGTTTTGTCATGGTTTTGAAACATGTACAAGTTTAGATAATTTGGGTTAGTTAATAAAGAGTAGCTAAAGTCAGCTAAAAGAAAAATAAGAATCAGAGTAGAACCTCATAAAGTCAAGAGATGAAGAATAATAGTCTAAGTATGGATGTGGAGATAGATGTATGAGAATGATCATCATGATAGGGGAATAGTGACCTGGTTTATGCTGGTCTGATCTGTGTTTGGGTCTCTTGCTCCCTTCCGTTGTTTGCTTCTACTTAGTTTCTCTTGTGCCTTTTGCTGAGCTGGACCCTCAAACTCTGATCCCTTCCCATTTTCGGTGGAATCTTTGCTGCTTCCTTCCTTTTTGTCAGTTTTTTGGTTGCTAGGACTGTGTTTCTATTGTTGTTATTGTGTATGTTTTGGTATGTTCCAAAAGAAGAAGGAAACTGTGATTTTTCAAGGGTTTGTTCCCTCTTTTTCAGAGTGGTTCACAAGAAGGGGGGAACTAGAGTATTTTGCTGAGATTTATTTGATCTTTCTTTCTGTCTATTTTCGGTTTTAGTTGAATGTTTGAGGAAAGGGAAGTTTTAAAGAGTTTTTGTTGTCTCTGTTTTCAGGGGAAGAAGAGGAGGAAGAAGAAGAAAGTGTTATCCATGTCGGAAGAAGAAGAAGCAGCAGGGGATCTTTCCCCTTTCTCTCGTCTGTGTGTGTGTTGTAGGGGAAAGTAGAAAGAGAAGAAGAGTCACACTTCTCCTTAAATTTTTGGTTCTCTCTGTATAAGAAAGAAAGAAGAAGAGTCAGCAGATGCGTGGGGAAGAAGAAAAGGCCCACCTCTGTTGTTGGCGAAAAATCAAGCCGCCCCTAGAATAATCAGCCCCCACTCCCCTTTTATAATACAAAAATCCACCGTAGCTTAGGTTTCTGTCATCACTTGATTGGCTGTTAGGGTAGTAGACTTTGTGTATTTTTCTGATTGGTTGATAATTGGGCTGGGCTTGGTCTGGTCGAACCGGTTTGGTTTTGCCTAGATTGGGCCTAGTTCGAATTTGGGTTGGCCTGGTTTTAGACTTTTTGGGCTCTGAGTTCTGTTGACTTGGGCATGGGTCAGAATTGATTGGGCTTGACTTTATTGACTAGGTTTAACCCGAATTGACTTTTGTGACTTGGTTTTGGGTTTTGACTCGGGCCCTTTTATTTTGTCCCATAACTGATTGTAATCAATTATAACCGTAAATTTTGTAATTATAATGTAATGAAGAAGCCAGTAGAAGGTTTTTATATATTTCTTTCTTTGCCATTCCAAAATCGAGACATTCCCTAAACCCCATTGCCATCAAAATAACTCAATAGCAGCGAGATTAAGCAATTGCCTAATTCGTTTTACCGGTTCAATCAATCACCTTCAAAACTCTATCAACCAAGAATCAAATTTGACATCACCTCAAATCCATATTCACATCTAAGATTTGCTATTGCTAATCTTGATGGTCCATGACAAATATGTTTTACCTTAAGCACTTCGAGTATCACTTTAGATGTTTAAAATTTGAGATTGCCAACTTTACGCAATCTAGTTTATTTAATTAAATTGTGTTTTAGCCTGGACAAAAAATGGTGTCTACAAAGCAAACATATGCGAAAATACAGGTCATCAAAGCAAACATATGTGAAAATACAGGTCACCAAAACAAACATATGCGAAAATTTCATTGTCACAAAATAAAAATATTTGTGACAAGTCAATTCATCACCGATGTTATATTAAATGACGATCATACAGGTCATCAAAGCTAGTTTTTGTGACTAAATACACGTCACCAACTATTGTGATTGGTAATACATCTTCCTAATTATATTTCTTTCGTGACAAAAATCTTGTCACAAAATGCTTCTCTTGCGACAATCATATGGTCACAGAAATAAATTATCAGTGACGATCCAAAATCGTCACACATAGGAATGCATATGCGACAATATAAATCGTCATAAATTGTACTTTTAGTGACAACCAAACCTCACCCTAGAACATACGAAAAAATTCAAAAAGTGTATTAGTGACAGAATTATGGTCACATATGACAATTATTAGTGACAATTGAAAACGTCATTGTTGTACTTTTCGTGACAAAACTAGTGCAGTAGAGGTGTGGCATTTGTGACAACTAAACCTGTCACGAATTAAACATATGCATGTTGGTTATACTTTGCAAAAAGTGTTGTGAAAGTTTTTGAAGGTGTTGCTTAAAATAGTGTTGCATATGAGTAATACATATGCAACACTTCTTTTGTTATAAAAATTGAGAAAAGTGTTACATATTACTTTAAGTAACACCACCTTTAGGTGACACTACTAAAAGTGTTGCATATTGCATATGCAACACTTTCGACACTTTTTACAACACTTTTCACGTGTTGGCAAATGCCACTTTTCCCGTAGTGATCTGGACTATTCATGCATGCCAAATTAGTTTGCATCGTAAGGATAGGGTTAGGACGACTCAATACCACTAGTAATAGATGAAGATGTTCCATCTTTGTGCATTGGCAAATATGTGTCTTGCATAGTAAATTAAATGAGACTTGAAGTGCTATGTGCAACAGACACATCCTATAAGTACTATTAACATGAAAAATGTTTAAGCTTATTTTACTGCCAATAAAGATAACAACATTTTGTGGAAGTTGCAACCCAACTTCCAGTAGAATACAGTTACTATTGAAGTTAATCAAGGTAGTTAACGAAAATCAAATCTGTAATTCCAGAAGTTCTATGAGGGAAACAATTTGAGGAGCTTGTTCTACAAAGATGGGTAATTCTGGTTGGACATTCTTGCTCGAGAACAAAATTAAGTGTTCAAATCATAAGGGGCAAATTAAATAATGTAAAGGACACAGAGATGAAATGAAGTAGTTAATAAATATCGAGTGGTGAAAGCATTTAATGCAGGGATATGAGGTTGTTCTGTTCATTCATAGCATATTACACAGCCATGGAACTAATGATATAGCGTTAGCCTTAACAGTAATATACAAAATTTCTGTATCCGTATTATTGTGATATGATATCAATTCCATCATCCTTGACGTCCCAATTAACCGTTCGAAGATCGATTCAAGTCAACAAGAACAAGCCTGGAATTCTTCCAAGTGTGGAAACAGTTCTTGGAAGCCCACTTTGGAGGGATGTATCTCCCAATTGGCTCAGTAGAAATTCGAGGATGAGGACTTGTTTTGATGCTTGGATGTTGCTCTACATGTTGGAGTGCTTGGATCGACAAGGGGAAGCCAGGAAGGATGTGTTTCAAGATGCTGACTTTGGAGCTCATAATACGACGAAATTCCATCATCCATGCCGTTCGACAACAACCATAGAAATCTGTATCCGACAAGGAGAATCAGGAAGAAGAAACCACGATGGCAGGACCATATAATACGACGAAATTCTTGCAGACTATCACGGCGCAGATTGGAGCGATCTTCCAAGCCCAATTTGACAAAATTGAGCGCCAATTAAAGCAACAAAGCAGAGACTCGGCGCTTTCAATCCAGACAAAAACCGGCGAAACCAGACAAGGGAGCGTGACCCCAACGATGCCGATGCTGCTAATCAAGAATTTCTTGATCAAATTGAAGATTTGGAGCAGCAGCTGATAGTGGTGGACACTGATCAAGGACGACGGCGACGAGAACATTGCGGGAGGCCTCCTAAAACATAGCCTGCTATCCCACCAGGGATCAAGCTTGTCGTTCCGCCATTTCACGGACTAATCAACCATGCTGCCGATCTCGACTGGGAGAGAAAAAAAATTCTTTTTTTCAGTGTGGCCAGTTCACTAAGCAACAGAAGCTCGCAATGGCTACGTATGAATTCTCCGATTATGCAGCTCAATGGTGGGAACAAGTGCAGACGCGGCGACGACAAAATTCGCAAGCACCTGTGGAGACTTGGGACGAATTACGCGGGCTGATGCGAGAGAGGTTTGTTCTTGGTTATTACCAACGAGAACTCCATGAGTCCTTACAAGGAATTCGACAAGGATCGAGGGCCATGGAGGAGTACTTTTGTGAGCTGGAATTACTTATGATGAGGGCCGATATACGAGAAGACAGGGCAGCCACGATTGAGCGTTTTCTTCACGGACTAAATTGCGAAATTCGGCATGAGGTCGATTTGCGAAAATTTGTCGAATTGGAAGAGGCATTACACCTCGCAATTAAGATTGAGAAGCAACTCAAGCTGCAGGGCACGAGCCGGAGATATACTACAATGAACAGGACGCCTAAGCCTGTCCCTGAACCCGAATTGAAGTCGGATTTGCCGAACAAACCCGCAAGGCTGGCTACTCTACCAATCCAGGAGAAGCAAGGATCCTTTAGTGGCAACATTAGGTGCTTCAAGTTCCACGGATATGGCCACAAAGCACACCAATGCGCTAATCAAAAGGTGATGGTGCGTAGAGACGGCCAATATTGTTCTGAAGATGAAGAAGAAGAGAAACAGAAGGAGGATGAGACCAACTCGGATTCTGAGATCAAAGCAGTTAAAGGTCCGCTATTTGTACTTCGACGTGCATTGACAAGTGAGGAACAACAGCCGTCTAAAGAAGACCAACGAAGTAACCTCTTTCGAACCAGGTGCCAAGTTAATGTGAAAAACTTGACGGTAATCATTGACGGGGGAAGTTGTGCCAATGTGGCCAGCCTCGACGTTGTCAAACGATTAGGTTTGGCCATGATTCCACGACCTGAACCGTACTCTCTGCATTGGCTCAGTGATCATGTTGTAATCAAGGTAAACAAGCAGGCTCGAATTTCGTTCTCTATCGAGAAGTATCAAGACGAGCTGCTTTTCGATGTCATTCTGATGCAACCGCCCATTTGGTCTTAGGACAGCCATGGCAGTTTGATCAGAGGGTGTCCCACCATGGCCGAACGAACTCCTACCCATTCGATCATGAGGGACGGAAGCTGGCTCTTAAACATTTGTCGTCGGTCGAAATTCCAGCCGATTAGGAGCATATATCCCAAAGTCAAGCTAGAAACGACGAGGGAATAGGCAGCTTCTGGCTAGGCGATATTTGCTGACTGTCCTAGCAGATAAGAAAGTTCCCCGGAGAAGCAGAGCTCGTCGCCCTTGCTCGTCGGCTGCCCTGAAGAGCACCGAATTGGGTGGAGCAATCAGAGCATCATTAGATACAACGAACAACGACAACACGTTCTCCAACTATCCTGTAACATGTAAGGACGAAGAAACCCAGCTGGGACGAGCCAAGTCGGAGAGTGTCCAAATCCAATTTCCAACTTCAAACGCGACGAACGATATGCAGAAAAAGAGGGAATTGGTCGAGGTGTTCGGGTGCGATTCGACCCAATCCCACGCTTAGAATCCACTCTTGGGGCCTCAAGGAAGGTGTAGGAGGCGCAAAATCGGGTCGCCAGATTCTGGAAAGTTGGTTCCGGAATCTGGAAATTTTGATTTTTCCGGTGACGGGAAAAATGGGAGACGCGATTGGAGTCGAATTGGGTCGAGTCGCAAGCTGGAAATGGATGGTGAAGACCCTTGGAGCCAAGAAAACGCGTTGCAAGCAGTGAATTGGGACGAGATGCTCGCAAACCGAAAGTCCCAATTCAAAAGGCCTCGCCCGAAAATCGAGTCCCAGCGGAAAAGGATTTGTTGGGCTGAACTTTCACGATCCTGTTTGGGTTGATTTTGTCGATTATTTTGAGCGCAGGTTGATTCAAGCTTTGAGGGCAAAGCTTTTTAAAGAAGGGGGGCTTGATATGATATCAATTCCATCGTCCTTGACGTCCAAATTAACCGTTCGAATATCGATTCAAGTAAACAAGAACAAGGTTGGAATTCTTCTAACTGTGGAAACAGTTCCGGAAAGCCCACTTTGGAGGGATTTATCTCTCAATTGGCTCAGTAGAGATTCGAGGATAAGGATTGTTTTAACGCTTGGATGTTGCTCTACATGTTGGAGTGCTTGGATCGACCAGGGGAAGCCAGGAAGGATGTGTTTCAAGTCATTCAAAACTCTATCCTGCAACTTGAAATCTGCCAGATTTTGGCTAAGGCAGAAGGGTGTTCAAGATGCTGACTTTGGAGCTCGGTTTCAGGAGCATGGAGGAGAATCGAGTTTGAGGCATCATCCCACATGGGAGTAAGTTTTTTACTCTACAGAGGCATGTCATTGGCTAAGGGAAAGCTTACCTGGAAGGCTTTCAACGAAGA